CATACACTACTATACTTATACTAACACTACTCGGGTACTAAGACCCCGACCCGACGACGACGACGACGACGACGACCGACGCGACGACGACGACGACGACGAGACGCGACGGACGACGACGACGCGGACGACGATCGGACGACGACGACGACGACGACGACGACGACGACGACGACGACGACGACGACGACGACGACGACGACGACGACGACGACGACGACTACTTCTACTACTACTACTACTACTACTACTACTAAAACGAATATTACGTCTACGGCTACGACAACACCCCCACAGATGCCGCGCTCACGACGTTCTCTTGGGTGCCCACCCCCCGGACAGGTATGGCGCCACTCTCACAGGCACTGTTTGGTGCCAGGCACCAGAAGGCTTCAAGACGTCTCCAAAGACCTGCGGAGACCTCCTGAGGCTTCTGTGGTTCTCTGGAGTTCTTCAAAATCGGCCGTTGTCGTCGTCGTCGTAGTCGTCGCCCCTGGGTCGTCATCTCATCGTCATCGTCATCGTCCTTGTCATCGTCGCCCATCGTCGTCTTTGTCGTCTCCGTCGGCTTCGGAGGGCCTCCAATCGCCCCCGGAAACCTCCGGAAACCTCATAAGGCCTTTGGAGACCTGTGGAGAGGAAACTTGCTGAGGCCTCTGGAGATGGGACCTTCACAGGCGGCCGTCTTTGCCGTCGTCGTCGCCCCTCGTCGTCGCCGCCGCCGCCGCCACCGCCGCCGTCGTCGTCGTCGAGCACCCAGGGCCTGCCCCCCAGGGCCCGATCACAAGTTATATTCCCCGTCGCCCTCCCACGGGGGCCCAACTCCCCTGCCCCCCCCTCTAACCGTATCGGTCGTACTGGTCGTAACCGTATCGGGTTGGAAGATTAATCTCAAACCAGCTACGTGCAGCCCGGGCACTCACAGCCGCCCGTGTAAATTTGGCTAGGATGACGCTCCAAGAGTATCGACTATGCGACAGGTGAAGCTTGCCCGACAACCCCACGAAGCGCACCGCAACGATGAGTCCTCTTCTCGGAGGTTTCCTCGGCAGTCCATCGGATCTTTGCCGAAGGAGTCTTCTCTCAGCCCAGCCTCGACCAGCTGTTCGCTGACACCCCCTTTGTCATTCTCCCTTCTCTCGGCCCTCGGGAGGGAAAAAACTATCGGTGCCACGCTGCCCGTGGGATCCCGTCAGGATCTTACTTTGTCGTTTTTAACATGCCTGGTGTTTCTCGGGGCTAAGAACATGTCCACTATACTGTGTTCTGTTCGTCCACCACTTCGTTGCGAATGGCGGTCCAAACGCAGTGTGCATAGTTTGTTCCGCACCTGTCGCTCGGAGAACCGGCTTGGAAATTATGATATACGTTGCAATTTTGGCGGTTCTGCGAAGTACCATGGAACAGGGCCCAGAATCGTTCGTGGCTCTACGCGCGTTTCTGATTTTTTCTTCCACAATAACACGCTGATTGGTGCCCCACAGCGGCGTGTTACTCCCCTTGTCCCCCCCCCGTCGTCCTGGCCGCACCCCCCCGTCCCCGAGGATGACCAGGACCCCCACGCGGCCAGGCTGCAGGCGCTGCAGAACATGTACTTCTCCCGGACCCCGCGCGACAAGAAGGACGCTGCCGCGCCGCCGCGGGAGGCGTGGATCTACGATGACAGCGGCACAAGCAGAAATCTTTGGAGCTCCGCGCGGGTTTCTTGCACGGGCGATGGACCTCCCTCCCTGGCGCGCGGAGCGCGCCACGGGTGGCGCTAGAAGCGCCGCCATGGGAGTTCCAGCCCCGATCCGAGAAATCCGCGCCGAGCCCCGAAGGTCTATGCCTGCATTGTTTGTTGTTGTTCGATCACGAGGACTTGGCATCGCTCGGACATGTGTTTGTTCTCGGCGAGGACCATCGAGGAGCATCCTGGGTCTACTTGCGGCAAGAGCACGAATCTGAACATGCACGGGGAATGCACGTCCGAGCGATGGCTACAGAGGGAGTCGGTCGATGCAGATTTGATGTTGCACCTCCGCTTTCGCGCGCCACACGGCGGGACGCGCGGGGCCTGGACGAGGACCCTCGGTGTCCACTGCGCGCCACCTTCTGCTTGGTTTTGTTTTGCCGTCGGAAGATCGCTCTCTCTCTTTTCCGCCCGCTCTGCTTCCGCCTTCCACCATCTAGTGCCCAATTCGCTTCTGGAGTGTCCCTCCCGGGCGTCTGACCTTTCTGCCGCCCGCTGACAGAAACGGTTGGTTTTGGGTTGGGGCAATGCCAGCAAAGGATGGTTGCCCTCGGACCCCTCTTTGTGATCGTTTTTTTTGTTGGCCCGCGGCGGTTGCGTCCCCATTATCGAGCCACATCTCTAACGTCTTTATGCCCTCTGGCCGACAAGCACTCTACCACTTTGAAGGCCTCACGGGTTTCCAGGATAACTTCCAATCATTCGGTCACGGTTCCGATGTAGTCGATTTGTGCACACGCGTACACGCGCACACACATTAATGTTTTGCAATGCGTGCGCAAGTACGATGCATTGCAGCTGTAGGATGCTGTTCCAGATAGCGTCTCTTGGGGCACATGACTACAACCTCCAATGCCGAGGATACAACTCCTGAGAACTACATTCAGCATCGGCGCTGGTATATCCGTGTTCTGAAATTGGCCTGACCCAGCATAATGTCGTCCAGTGCGGCTGAATATTTGGCTGCATTTGGGCACATCTGGGGCTTAGTGTCGGGTGAATCCGGTTGAGTGGCCCCCCTTCGGGCTTCATACGAAGTTTCCCAGGAAATGCTTCGTGATGGTCAGCGCATCCGCTGTGTCCCAACGGGGAGCGGTGCGGAGGCTGGATGGGGGTCAGGGCGTCGGGGTCGCCGCGCGCGCCTGCTGCCATACCGGCTCGACATCCGCGCGATTTGAGACGGCCTCGCCGGCCAAGGGCGGGACCATCTTCGACTAGCGTACGAGGTGACCCTTCGCCGGAGTGACCTTTGGTGCGGGCCCACTGGGGTCCCCCGAAGAAAACAAAGCACGAAAAGCATACACTTGCGCTCCGCGCGGATTTCTTGGATCTGCGCTCGGGCCCCCCCCGCGGCGCCTCTGGCGCCGCCCCTGGCGCGCTCCGCGCGCGGAGCGCCAAAAGTTGATGTTTATTCCGATCTTTTTCTTCTTGTTCCCCGATCTCCAACGCGATGCGGTCATAGCGTCTTGCGCGTTTGTGTTTGGTCCCTCCGCGGCGCCCAAGAAGCCGCGCACCAGAGGTCACTCTTACCCAGGGTCGCTCGTGCGTTTAGTCGACATCTGCCCGGCCGATGGCCAGCAGAGCTGCCGCCCGCGACGCCCCTGGGCCTCTGAAAGCAGGCTCGGGCGTGTGGGCGTTCTACCACGCGCCCAGCCATCGACAAGGCTTGGCGACGTCAGACCTATCCTGCAAAGGAGGATTATGTACCGATACCGCTGTCCTAGCTTCGTTTTTTCTTCTCTTTGGGCCTCGTGGTAGGCCCTCGTAGCCACAGCCGGCTTCGATTCGAAATTTTGGTCAGAGCGCATCCCAAGAGAGGTCTCGATATTAGCGGTATCGGTACGTCTTATTTCCCCCAAGACCTATCTTACGATCGGGGCGTAGCAACTTTTTCACACTAGGCGTTTTCGCGCCAGTGTAGGGACCCAGGAGCATCAGAGATCGATCGGGCTCGAGAACAGCCGCGGAGTCATAGGTTGGCGGCGAAATTCGAAGCCTGCCCTCGGGGATCAACGACACAGGCAACTCGATGGGCGGCGGGAGTAGAGTTCGTGGCGAAGTCCGAGCCCTACCCTTAAGTCGGACCTGTCCCTCTACAGGAGGAATATGTAGAAACAGTAAGAAAAACTCTAGGGACGATTTGTTGATTGTTCTTTAACTATTGTTTATGGATCATATTTATTTTTCGTCCAAAATCCGCCTGTAGGGGGACAGGCCCGACTTAACCCTACCCCCGCCTCCCATATATTCAGGATAATCGATGGTTTGTGGGGGTAGGGTCCGACTATCGCCACCTAACAGGGGTCCAGGTTCCTGGTTGTGATTTTTTGCGGTGGTGCAAGTTTGTCACAGCGCCAGATCTCAGAGTGCTCTTATCGGCGGCGAGCGAGGGGGGAAGTGAGAAGGAGGAGGCCTTCTCAGAAGGTTCGGAAGTCCCCCTGCCTTCTGAGAACTTCTCTGAGCCTTCCCCGAAGGCAGCAAAAACACTTCTCAGGAGGCGCGAGGGCCTCTGAGAAGCCCCGCCGCCCTCTGAGAAGGCCTTCTCCTTCTCATTCCCCCCCCCCCTCTCGGTCGCCGCCGACCCTATAGCCCCAGAGTGCCAGGGCTCCCGTGGGTGCCACCATCCGGCCCACACCCCGAGGTGGGGGCGGGTGCCGCGAGGCCCGAGGGTACGGGCAGCTGTGCCGTCCGTCCCCGCTCGGGGCGGCAGGCCGGGCAGCGGGGCCGAGGTCGGCGACCACCGGGCGTGGCTGCGCCGGCGTGCGGCTTGCGATCCGGAGCGTGGAGGCTTTTTTTTGAGGGGGGGGGGGGCGGGCGCCAGGAGCAGGAGGGGAAAAACACAGACACAATGAATCGTCGATTCCCCCGAAAGTGGGAAGTGGGGGGGAAAACGATAATCCAGAAAATACAGGGGAAGTATGGGAAATCCTGTTATTTGAATGTATTTATTTGAGTGTCCCAGGGCCCCTTTACAGCAGCCCGACGAAGAGCGAGCAGAGGCAGGTGGGGATCTTCGTGCTCCAGCCCCGCCCCTGCGCGCCCTCCGGCAGGGGGGAGGCACCGGCAGGGGCAGCCCCGGCCACTGGGCAAGGGCGGCACACTGTGCTCTTTGCGAGCTGGAGCGGTGCCCGCGCCTGCCACCCCCCCCCAGGGGTGCCGGTTGCAAAGCGCACCCCTGGCAGACCACGCCCTGTGGAGTCGCCGACGAGGGCTTTCCTCGCCGACGAGGGGATAGGAGGGGAGGGGGGATGCGACGAGCGCGTTCCATTATTCGCAAAGTGATTGCTCGCAAATGGCCTGGATCTCCCGCGGGGGATCTACGAGAAATGACATCCAAGCAGACAGGTGTTTTTCGGACGTTTGCGCGTAGGCACTTTTGCGAGTAGTGGAATGCGCTCGGCGGTGGACGGGCCTGGCGATGCCGCAAGGCTTCCGCTACGTGAGGCTGCTGGAGAGCGAGGACCGGTCGGACGGGACCAGGACGAGGACAATCCGTTCCAGAGCGTTCCAGAGCATTCCAGGACGCTCTCGGAGCGTGCCAGAACGCTCCGAGAAGGCCGCGGCGCCTGAGACATCCTCCAGAGCTGCCGGATCTCAGAGATTCTCGATTTATCCTTACACGGTTTGATCCTCGTCCTGCGTCTTCATCGGGGGCAGCGGCAGGGGGGGGGGTACTGGCCCCAGTGGGGTAGGCGTCGCCCCCCGTCGCCCATGCGTCGCCGATGGGAGCCTTGGCACCCCGCCCGGGGCCCAGGGGGCCAGGGACGCGCGGTGTCGCGATTGGGGGCCCATCGCCGATCGATCTGCGATGTATCGCTGATGCCAGGTCGGGGTGCCCCCCCCGAACCTCGCTGGCAACAAGGACTGATACTCTAGGCCTCCTGGAGGGTGTCCGAGTAGCTGGAGTCGGAGGATCGCGCCGCATCGCCGGTGCATCGACGATGCGGCTCGATGTGGAGCCCGTGTTTCCCCACGCCGACGTCGCCGCTGCATCGCCGATACACATCGGCGATGCATGGGTGATGCGGCGCGATCCTTCGACCCCCCAGCCATACCCTGACCCCGTCCAGGAGGCCTCCTGGACGCCGCGACTCCCCGCGCCCCTTCTGGGATGCGTTCTGACCACGGTTTCGGGGCGAATCCAGCCGTGGCGACGGGGGCACCCCAGGAGGCTTCCGACTGGCGGAAGCGAGGGGAGGGTGGCCCCCGGACTCTTCCCTGCTGCTCGACCGTCAGCCAGTCCGATAGGCCAGAGAGGCAGGGAGTGAGGGGGAGGTGAGGCAGCATCAGTGGGATTCCAGAGTAGTTCCGCTGCTGGCGGCGGGATCCCATTCTTCTCTTCCCCATGCTCCTCCCTTGAGGTCCTCGTCTGTTCCTCCTCGCCTCACCGCCTCTTTGAGTTTATAAACGCCAGCATCCGTAGACTGTTCGGAGCTGCCCTCGTGGAAACCCGTAGTTTGGTCCGTTCCTTGGTTCCTCCCTTGGAGCTTGGTCTTCGGTTCCTGTTCCCGGGTCTTGGGTGCTGGCGCGTTATCGCTAATTCTGGTATCCCGCATTCAGGTTTTCGATGGTAGCCCCCACAGTTTTGAGGAGTTCCAACCGCTTCTAGCCGCAGGGATCTGTCCGTCTGGATCGTGTGAGCCCCCTACCTGCTAAGTACCGCATCGCCCGCGCTGGAGGAACTAGAGCGGTTCTTTTGATTTCAGTCTCGGCCGAATTCAGACTCGTGTTCCTGATGAGCTCTCCGCCGCCGCGACCGCGCTCACCGCCTCCCCCAAGCCAGTTTTCCATCTGCCGTTGCCCCTCATCGAAGAAGGCGTAACACACAAACCTTGGACGCTCCGCGCGGATGTCTTGAATCTGCGCTGGACCCCCTGGCCTTTGGCCGCGCATCCGGCGCCGCCCCTGGCGCGCTCCGCCCGCCAGGGAGGGTCAGTATCGTTTATCCGACCCCATCCCCATCCCCATCCCCTTCAAGACCCCCACCAAATTACCCCCCAGTTGGGGACACACCCCTCGAAACCCGAAGGGAACGGCCTATAATTACCCCCATCTATAGGGGGGCAAATCGGCCAGTGGGGCCCAGGCCACGCCGCTGGGGATGGGGATCGGTTAAACGATACTCTGAGTGGGGTCCAGCGCCGATCCAAGAATTCCGCCCAGAGCTCCGAAAGTTTTTGCTCGTGCAGCCGTACAGTCAACCCGCATGGTAAGGATGGGCAACATTCCCAAGGGTGCTCCTGCATCCCCTGCCTCCTCGGCCCATCCTCGGCCACTCGCGGGCCGCGCCCCGCTCGAACGGCTGCGAGGCTGGCGCCCAAAAGGCCCCCACGTCCTCCTCGCGCATCCTCGCTGCACGGGCTGACCGTGACCCCCTCCTGCCGCAGGAGGGCGGACGCCCGGCCGAGGCCGCTCCCGGCGCGGGCACGGTGGGCCTCTCCACGGGCTGGGTCGAGGCGACCGTGGCCGAGGATCGGGGGCGACGAAAGGGGCGAGCAGCCCCAGGGAGAGAGCAGTCCCAGGTCTTCGGGTGCGCCGAGGATCTGTGTCTTCGAAGAGGCTCCCTGGCGAAGACGTGTAATGCCCGCCCCTGGGCTATTCGCCCCTATCGTCGCCGCCGAGAGGACTGGCGGCCTGCCGAGGGGGGCGGGAAGAGCGCCCAGGCGAGCCGGCGAGCAAGGGTCGTGCATCTCGTGTGCCGCGTTCTGTTTCTGGTGATCAGGCAGTGGCGAAGCGTCCCGGCGTGCCTACAGGCCTACCAAACAATGTTCTGAGAACCTTTTGTTTGTGGTGCCCAAGAAATGTTCTCAGAACATTTCTGGCTGGTGTTGTCTTGTTTGAACACATCGGGTGTATGTTCTAAGAACATGTGTTGGTTCCTAGAACATCTTTGGGTTCTAAGAACATGTCTTGGTAGGCCTATAGGAATTCCAGGACGGCCGGTCCCTGCTCAATTGTTTCCGGTGAGCTTCCACTACGTGCCAGCCTGGAACATATCTTTGTCATTATGATGGGTATCGTCTCATCTCGATGCCGATCGTCAGGGTTCCCTGGGTTTCTGAGGACGCATCCCTGAGATTGGCATCGCCTGTCGGCTGGTAAATCTTAGGGGTATGGATTAGTTCGAGACTGGTTAACGTCGCCCTCGGTCGGGGGTTGCTAAGGGTGCCCCTGTCACATGGCGCTCCCAGCTTTTCGCTGCATTTTGGAGCGCCTGGGGCCCTCTTGGCCTCGCGAGCGGTGCTCTGGAGGCCGCGGGGGCCTCCTTGGAAATCCTGGGGGCACCGTGGGCCAGGTGCACTTCTAGCAATACCCGATTTCCCTCCAGCACTCAGGCACAAGGACTGCATGTTCTGGGCGTGTCCTTCCTCCCCCCGCGCGCTCCTACTCTTCCTCCCGATGCGCCTGCTTTAGTGCCTCAAGATTCGCCTTGGTCGCTCGAACGCTGCTTGAGTCAAGCAGCCGCAGATTGAAAATTAGCCTGGCGAAAGACCCAACCATAAGCAATTGTTAATACCGCAATTGTGGGCATCATCTTCGGTGGAGCTCCATATGGGGCCACGAACCGTGTGAGGGGTGCGCCAAAATGGGGCGGGGCCGCCATGCGGACCCTGCCACTGGGGCCTTCGGTGGAGCTCCCTATGGGGCCACGAACCGTGTGAGGGGGGCGCCAAAATGCGGGGCCGCCATGCGGGACCCGGCACAGCTGGGGCCTTTCTCTTCCGCTCACCTATGGTGCCACGAAACCGCGTACTCGCGGTGAGGGGTGCGCCAAAATGGGCGGGGCCGCCATGCCGACCCTGCATGGGGCCTTCGGTGGAGCTCCCTTATGGGGCCCACGAAAAACCATGGAGTGGGTGCGCCAAAATGCGGGGAACGCCATGTACGGATCCATGCTACCTGAGCCCTTCGGTGGAGATCCTGTGGGGCCAGAACCGGTGAGGGGTGCGCCAAAATGCGGCGGCCCCATGGCGGACCTGTCTAACTTCGGGGCCTTTGGTGGAGCTCCATATGGGGCCACGAACCGTGTGAGGGGTGCGCCAAAATGCGGGGCCGCCATGCGGACCCTGCCATTGGGGCCTTCGGTGGAGCTACCTATGGGGCCACGAACCGTGTAAGGGGTGCGCTAAAATGCGGGGCCGCCATGCTGACCCTGCCACTGGGGCCTTCGGTGGAGCTCCCTATGTGGCCACGAACCGTGTGAGGGGTGCGCCCCAATGCGGGGCCGCCATGCGGACCCTGCCACTGGGGCCTTCGGTGGAGCTCCCCATGGGGCCACGAACCGTGTGAGGGGCGGGCCAAAATGCGGGGCCGCGGGGGGGAACCCATGCCACTGGGGCCCTTCGGTGGCGCTCCCTATGGGGGCCACGAACGCGTGAGGGATGTGCGAAAAAGAGACACGCGGAGGCAGAGCAAGGGGGAGGAGGAGGGGGAGGAGGAGGAGGGAGGAGGGGAGCAGCGGGAGGAAGGAGGAGAAAGCGGGGCCACCGTCTTTCAAAACGAGGGATCACAACACCACAGGATGGTTCGGGAAAAAATTGATACCTCCGATCCTCGTGAGGGGTGTGCCGACATGGGGCGGGACCGTCATGCGAACCCTACCACTGGCGCCTTCGGTGGAGCTCCTTATGAGGCCACGAACCGTGTGAGGGGTGTGCCGAAAAGGGGCGGGGCCGCCATGCGAACACTGCCACTGGCGCCCTCGGTGGAGCTACCTATGGGGCCACGATACTCGTGAGGACTCGCGCGACATGGGCGTGACGGGCGCGCCGAAACCTGCCACTGGAACCCTCGGTGGGTGGAGCTCCCACAGGGCACGATCATTCGCTGAGGGGTGCGCCTCATGGGGCGGGGTCGCATGCGAACCCAGCCGCTGGGGACTCGGTGGAGCAGGGGGATGCAGCCTATGGGGCCGCGATCCTCGTGCGGGGTGTGTCCGGAAATGGGGCGGGCGCCATGCGAACCTGCCATTGGGGCCCTCGGTGAAGCTACCCAACAGGGCACACGATCTCGTGAGGGTGCGGCAAAAATGGGGCGGGGCCGCCATGCGAAACCTGCCACTGAGGCCTTCGGTGGAGCTCCCTATGTCCCTGCGGGGCCACGAACCGTGTGAGGGGTGCGCCAATATGGGGCGGGGCCGCCATGCGAACCCTGCCACTGGGGCCTTCGGTGGAGCTCCCTATGTGGCAACGAACCGTGTGAGGGGTGCGCCAAAATGGGGCGGGGCCGACATGCGAACCCTGCCACTGGGGCCTTCGGTGGAGCTCCCTACGGGACACGAAACCGGGTGAGGTGCGCGAAAATGGGGCGGGGCCGCCATGCGGACCCTGCCACTGGGGCCTTCGGTGGAGCTCCCTACTCGGGCCTTATGATGATGATGGTGATGATGATGATGCTGATGATGATGATGATGATGATGATGATGATGACGGTGATGATGATGACGACGGCGACGATGATGATGCTGATGATGATGATGACGATGATGATGGCGGGAGGAGGGAGGAGGGGGGAGGAGGAGAGGAGTGAGGACGCGGGCGCTGTCTCTTCAAAACGAGAACCCAACACCACAGGATGGTTGGGAAAAACAACAGTGAGCTAATTTTTGGGATTCCCAGATGGAGTCCGAGTAGAGGGGTCGTAAAATCGTGCCTCACTGCCGATGCATCGGCGATGCGTCTCGATGTGGTGCCCTGTGTTCTCCACGCCGATGGCGCCGATGCATCGCCGACGTCGCCAGTGCATCACCGATGCTTCGGCGATGCACGGGCGATGCGGGGCGACCTTCCGACCCCAGTTATCCAGGCCCCGTGTAGGAATCCTCTACATTGCAAAGGTCCAAGTGCGCTTGCCTGTTCACGGCGCGGGGTGAAAAGCTCCCGCGCAAGCTTCCACGGAGCCGTGCCGTCCTTTGGGTGCCGCGGCAAGCGTCGGGATCGGCAGCGCTGCGTTTTTCTGTTTTGGGTGCGGGGGGCATGATCCGTGCTCGCGCCAGCACTCAGGCCATCGGCACTGCTCAACAATCCTTTAGCCGAGCCCGTCGCATGGGAAGTCCATCCTGCAGGGCCTCGGGAGGCGGTGGACCTGGACAAAGCCCCCCTGGGACTCGCTGCATCCACATCCTTCGATGGCAACTCACGGGGGCCTCGCACGTCCTCGACGTCCCATCTCTGGAGGGCATCGGCGTGCGCCTGGTAATCGGAGAGAATTGTTTGGCGTCGGCTATCGTCGGTCATCGTCGACCCGCCAGCAAGATTACACGGGAGGCTCCCGTGAGTTGCCACAGAAGTATCCACTGCCCCCTGGGTCCCCGCATCCACTGCTCCTGGAGTTCCACGCGCTTCATGCATTCGTCGGGTTCAATCAGGGCCGAAGATTGGCCAAGAGAACTCCTTAACGAGGCCACCGAGACGGTCCAAGAGGCCACGAGTCGCCGAAGGTTAGCTTGGTCCTGGGGTCCCAGGACACGGGTCGGCGGCGAGCCCAGAGTGGGAAGTCAGAGGGGGCAGTCTTCCTCAGAAGGCGGCGGGGCTTCGCTGGAGCCCTCCGTGGCTTCGCAGAAGGCTTACGTTGAAAGCTTCCCAGAAGGCCTAGAAGGCCGGAGGCCTTCTGAGCCTTCTGAAAGGGCCGCCCCCATTGCATTCCCCCGCGCGTGCCGCCGAAGGACGTCCTCGAGAGCCTTCTCAGAAGCTTCTTGAGATGTCGCCGCAAACGAAGACGCAGACGCTTTCTGCGCAGGGCCCTCGATCTCAAAGCTCAGGGGCGTCAGGCTTGCTTCCCACGGGGGCGGGAAACAAAAAGAACAGACTCGGGACGAAGAGCCGGCCCAGGGGAAGGGGAAGCGGAATGGGCTGCAGGTCGGTGCGGTCGAAATGAGTACGGAGAGATTGAGCACGAAGACCGACAGCAGATCTTGTATCTTGTGTGCATTTTCAACGGGGCTGTCCGCGCCCTCGTGGACCCAGCCCATTTGAGACAGAAGGCCGCCTGCCCACCAGTGGCCGCCGTCGGTTTGGGGCAATAGCTGTTGCTGGGCGCCTACTTTTTCGTGCCCACTTCAGGTGTCCCAACTCGATGAACTCCAGATGGAACAATTCAAGACATCGGATCTCTGGGTTTGCAACCTGCATGAGCCATTGGCGGGAGGCCCACCGATCCCCGCCAGCCGCGCGAGCCGCGCAGGTGGTGGTCCACCTGCGCGGCTTCTTCGCCGACCCCTACCGGCCGGACCCCGAGCCGGTGGACTGCATGTACTGGAAGCTCGGGCGCGGGCTCGTGCGGCCCCTGGACGAGTCACGGCCGCCCGTGGAGCTGTCGTTGTTCGTGGCGAGGTTCGAGGACGAGGAAGCCCTGAGATCGGGGGTCTCCGGGGGTTGCCATGGTTTCGCACTGCGTGTGTGCGCCCGGTTTCGGGCCCTTTGGGCCCTCGCAGTAGACCGAGCTGGCGCAGAACATGTTGCAGAAAGATGAGTTCCACTGGTCGGATCGTGGTTGTACGCGATGTTGCAATCTGTCACAACGTAGGATCGCAGGGGAACGCGCACGAGCATAGATTTTCGGAGTTCCACGCCGATCTGATAGACCTGCGCTGGACCCATCCGCCAGGGGGTCCATCGCCAGTCCAAGACGTCCGCGCAGGCCTCCGCACGTGTACCTTGATGCGGTCTTGCTTCCTCCAGAGGTGGTGGCAGTACGACAACCCCGAGGCGCGTGCCCGCTCCCACAACATCCTGCACAAGGGCCTCATGGAGGACTCGGCGGCGCTCCGAGGGGGGAAGTCCTCGGATTTCTGGGGAGGGTCGAACCTCGAACTTCGACCGACGACGACGAAGACGACGATTGCGGGAACGGCGGCGACGGCGGCGACGGCGACGGCGACGGCGACGGCGACGGCGGAGGTGGCAGGCCTTCTCAGAAGTCGGCGGGGCTTTATCAGAAGCCCTCAGTGGCTTCGCCGAAGCCCTGTGTGGCTTCGCAGAAGGCTTAGAAATCTTCTCAGAAGGCTGGAGGCCTTCTGAGCCTTCTGAGAAGGCCTGCCCCCTCTGCCTTCCCCCGCGCGTGCCGCCGAAGGACGTCCTCGAGGGCAAGGGGTCTCCGCACGAGGCCTTCGGGACCGCTGGCCAGTACGAGGTCTACACCGCCTTCGTGCGAGGCTGAGGGGTCACGTCGGGGCGTTAGGGGTTAGGACCCGCTCTCATGGGAGGAAATTATAATATACCGATACCGCTAAACTTCGCCCGTCCTCCCCTTGTTCGGCCTCCTGGGAGGCCCTCGTCGCCTCCGTTGGAGTCGGATCGAAATCCTGGTCAGAAGGTGCCCCGGGAGAGGTCCAGGGAGTAGCGGTATCAGTACCTTTTGATTTGCTCCAAGCTCAGGGTTGGGAACATCGACCTGGAATCGGCGATGCATCGCCGGTATGTCGGCGATAGGCTCCCGATGATGATACCGAATCTGCACCTTCCTGGGCGGGGCGGGCTATCGGGCCCCATCGACGACGACTCGGCGATTGAGGGTCGACGCCCCCCCTTCCCTCAGCCTATCCTCTCTAACCCAGACCCCCGACGTACTGTTTTTGTTCACGACGTGGACATCCATCGGCATGGACCCTCCCCCCTGGACCCGGCTTCTCATCCTGAGCAATTTTTAACGGCCCCGGGGCCCGTGGAGGGCCCTCGGAGGTTGAAAATAGCCCCACGCCGGCCGCGCTCCGATTTCTGCTGGAGCATCGGACCACCTCTGTGCCTCTGTCGGTGAAGATAGACAGGCCTCGCCGGCGGGGCTCCTGGGCCGCGACCCCGCGAAGATGGGGAGATATTCCGCGGATGCCCGGCGCGGGACGCCTCCGTGCGACTGCGTAGCCGCCGGATCGCGGCCCGGAGCCCAGACCGCGAGGGCGCGGATACGGATACGTTCGCCGCTGGTGACTCCCCCCCCTGAGCCCGATCTCCCCCCCGCCCGCGAGGCTGGCCCCCTCGGATCAGGAGGGGAAGAAACACGCAGACACAATTCATTGTCGATTCAATCGAACATATAAGGAAATATGGGAAGTGGGGGGGAAGACGACAACCCCCGAACTATGGACAAAATATTGAGAATTCTGTTATGTGTGTGTGTGTGTGTCCTTGGGCCCCTTGATGAGAGGCGGCGAGGACCTGGACGCCCTCGGCGAGGGCCTCGCCGCGCAGCTGCACAGCCGGCGCCGGGCGGCGCTCTACTTCCTGTGGCCCTCGCAGCGGCTCGGCCGCGAGCGCTTCGCGGCGGGCTACGTGGCCGAGCGGTCGCTCACGGGCCTGATGCGGCGCATGGAGGCCGGCGGCGTCAGGACCTCCCCCTCCTCCTCCACTACCTCCTTCTCCCTCCCGTCCATGCTTCCTCCTCCCTACGACTCTCCTTCTCCTGCTTCGCTCATTCCGCAGCCGACTACGACGCAGGTATGCACCCGCTCAGCTCTCCTCCTGTCAGTCCGCCTCTCCCTCCAGCTCCTCATCCGCCCCCTACTGAAACCGCCTAAGCATGCTGCGACTAGCAGCATTCAGTACCTCATACTCTTCTTACTCCTCCTCCTCCTCCTCCTCCTCCTCCTCCTCCTCCTCCTCCCCTTCCTCCTCCACCTCCTTCTCCTCCTCCTCAGATCCGGGCGTTGCATTTTTTCGCAACGGGCGCTTTCGCTCGTTTCTTCAGGGCCCCTGCAGCCTCGTGGGTCGATCCAGCTCGGCTCGGAGAGCTGGGCTCGGCTCTCAGGCCGCCGCCTCACCCCCGTGCCTTTTGCCTTCCTTCCCTGCGCCGGCAGCGAGTCGCCTCTCGCGTGTCCGGGACCCCGCGGCGGGACAGGGGCCAGGGGTCGGGGCGGGAGGCTCGGCCGCGGAGCGGAAGGCGGACGGGCCGATTGGGAGGAGGAGGAAGCCCTGAGATCCTGGCGTTACTCTGTTTCACAGCGGGCGCTTCCGCTCGGTTTCGGGCACTGAGGACCCTCACAGATCGATTCGGCTCGACAAATAACGCCGAAAAACAGTGTCCTGTGCTCTGGTCGCGATTTGTTGTTTTATGTTGTAGTTGTTGTGCAACGTCGGGTCTCAGGGGAGAAAATAATCGGCGGCGCGCACCAGAGGGGTTGGCGCGATTGGGGGTGGCCTTCTGAGAAGGCGGCGCGCTTCTTCGAGGGGAGGGGCGTTCTGAGAAGGGCCCGGAGGCTTCTGACAAGGCCTCTTAAAAGCCGGGGGGGGGGGCTTCTCAGAGGGCGGCGAGCTTCTTCGAGGGCAGGGGCTTTCTGAGGAGGGCCCGGGGGCTCCTGACAAGGCTTCTTAAAGGCCGGGGGGGGCTTCTCAGAAGGTAAAGCCGGGGGGGGGCCCTGCCTTCTCAGAAGCCCCCCTCCCCGCCCTCTCAGGAGGCCGCCCCCTTCGCGCTATCCCCTTGCGCGCACTGCCAAGCAGATGTATTGATACCCCGACTAATTTACTGATGCTCCTACTTTCTTATATTTCGCTCCGTTTGCTCCCTGGGGCAGATGCTTGCGACGCCACCGCCACATTGAGCAGTGCGAACCGGAAGTTTTCGCTGGCGAAGGATGGTTGTGCCAGCTCCTTTACCAGAACTCGTTAGCGTGCGGACCGAGAACACTTTCACCAAAAGCGCCGTTGCCGAAATGAAGATCACCGATTTTAGCATGTCGCATCCCAGGCATTTGGGGTCGGCACCGTCGCCAACCGTTACCTTGCGGCAGTGCAGAACTGAAAAGTACAGGGTCCCGCTTGAATAAGGATTTTTTTTCAAAAGGGGCTCGGTCGTTCCTTCGGTCGGCATGCGTCCCGCTACCTTTTTGGCGGCGAGCCCCCCTGGTGTTCCTTCGGACTTCCTAGATTTACTTCGAAAAAAGGGGGCTTCGTTTCTTATTGAATCGCTTCGCTCATTCCGCCGGCCCGTGATATGGCATCGCTGGTTTTTGTCTGTGTGTTTGTTGCCCATGTTGCGCTCTTGGGGGCGGGTGTCGTTCGGACGCGTTGCGTGGGGAGTTTGATGGTGAAGCAGTTCCCTGGGGGTCGTCTCTCGATGGGGCGAAATAGAGTCGTCGTCAAGATGCTTCTTTGGGGGGCCTCTTGGGGTCTGTTGAGAGGCCGTTCGGGGGCGCCTGGGAGACATGTTTGAAGCCTTCTGGGGCTTCTTTTGGGCATCCTGGGAGTCTCCTGGGGCCTCTTGGCGACATCTTGGGGCCTCTTGGAGGCCTCTTGGGGCCTCTTTGGGACCTCCTGGGCGCCTTCTGGGACGGAGGGCTCCATTTTTGAGTTCTCGGTATCCCTCCTGAGTCCCTCTTGGGCCCGTCTTGGGGCCTCTTGGTCCGTCTTGGGCGGCACTTGGGCCGTCTTGAGGGCTCTCTTGGGTCGTTTCGGCGCCGTCTTGGGAGCTTCGTGGGCCGTCTTGGAGCGGTCTTGGGGGCCTCTTGGGCCGTCTTGGAGCGTCCGGAAGCCGAAAAAGCCAGAACACAAAAAACATCGAAAAAAACAATGAAAATCAACGATTTTGGCCTCTTGGGGCTCTCTTCGGAGGCCTCTTGGAAGGCTCTTGGGGCGTCTTGGAGGCCTCTTGGGCTGTCTTGGGGGCCTTTTGGGCCGTCTTGTGGTCATCTTCGGCGTCTTCGAGCGCTCTTTGGGCGTCTCGGGGGCCTCTTGGGCAGTCTTGGGGGCCTCTTGGGGCACTCTGAGCGCGCTCTGGGGAGCCTGAGAGGCCGCACCCAGAAGGAAAACCATCTCTGAGTAGACTTGGTCGGGCGGCGGTCGGGCGGCGACCGGGCGTTGGTCGGGGTACTTTTCGCCGGGGGACCCCCAGGGGCCGCCCCGCGCGCGCGAACTAGAAATACTGTTAATACTGTCAACCAGTTACCGGAGATCTTAGCACGCCCTGGCCCGTTGGGCCGGCGAATTTTTGAGCATGTCGTGGTAGGCCTATAGGAATGCCGGGACGGTTGGTCCCTGGTCAAGCCATGAGCCCGAGGCGCATCCAGCCGTGGCGACGGGTGGTCCCCACGATGGCCCGGAAGGAGCCGCCAGTCTCAATTTCCTTGCTCTTCCTCTGCCCGTCGCCGTCGTCGTCGCTGCACTCGGCGACGGGTCGGAATCCATTCTGGATGCCTCTGAGTCTCTGGGCCTCGACCTCCCCAGACGCGTGACGCTGTGCTTCTGCTCGCAGCGCGGCTCCCCGGAGGCCTGGACCCCCTGGCGAGGCCGAACACTTGCGGGAGCCCTCGGCCGTGGATGTCTTCTGCCTCTGCCGGGCTCCACGGCGCGAGGCCGGCGGGGCCTCCCGGTGGCGCGGGCCCCGCCCCCCGGCGGGCTCACGGGCCGAGCAGGCGGGGCGAGGAGCGGCCGCCGCCACCGCCCTGGCGGCGCCGAGGCCCTGCCGCTGCCGGTCGCCGCACCCGCTGCCGTCGTCGTCGCCCGTCGTCGGCAGAATCGGCGGCGGCGGCGGCAGCGCTGGCGTGGCCGGACGTCGGGCCTGTCCCTCTCCAGGAGGGATGCTCAGAGAGAGTCCAAGGGTAGTCTGGGGTGGCGATGCCTTCAGTGCTCTTGGGCATCCTGTCTGTATTGTTGACGCAGCTTTTATTTCTCGCCCCAAATCCCTCCGCAGGGGGAAACGCCTGACTTCAGCCATCAGCGTGGGCGGCGCCGCCCGGCCCGCGGGCGCGCCGAGGCCCTGCCGGCAGTCTGCTGGGCGCTCGGGGTGCCGCTGGCGCGGGCGCTGGGCGCGCTGCTGGGCCGCGGCTGCGGCCTCGACGATGGGGCCGCGGCTGTCGCCACGCCGCGGGCCGCGGGCCGCGCCGTCGCTCGGTATCGTTTGACCGATCCCCATCCCCGTCTCCATCCCCTTCGAGACCCCACCAAATTGCCACCCCAGTCGGGGAGACACCCCTCGAAACCCGAAGAGAACGACCCATATCCCCATCTAGGGGGGTACATCGGCCAGCGGGGCGCAGGCCACGCCGCTGGGGATGGGGATCGGTTAAACGACACTCAGTCGCCCCGCCGCCGTCGATGTCGTCGGCGGCGGCGCCGTCGACCCCGCCGGCGCGGGTCGCCGCCGCGGTCGCTGGTCTTAAGTCGGGCATGTCCCCCTGGAGGCGGCTTGTGGGTGGAAAAATTTCAAAATGACCAACAAATGCTCCCAAGTGGTAAAACATAGGCGAAAAATCGTTCCCCGACTATTTTTTGACTAATTTTGGATATTCCCCCCGTAGAGGGACAGGCCCGACTCAACGCTGGTGCTCTGTCGTTCTCTGGGTCACCGTCGGGCCTCTGGTCGCCGGTCGTCGACATCGACACATCGACATCGACGTCGGTGACATCGGTGTCCGTCGGCGGCGTCGCCGCCGTCGCCGTCGTGTTCGGTGTCGACTCCGTTGCTTTATCGTCGCCGTTCATGCTCTCGTGTCTGGTTTCGTTAACGTGTTCGCGTTCGTCGACATCGTCGTCGATGGTATCGTCGATTTCGATCTCGTTTCTGCTTTCGCCCTCGTCGTCATCGTCATGGTTTTCGTGGTCGTTCTTAGCTTTCAGTAACGCAGGGGGCTTGGTGCTGGGGCGTGCGGGTGAGCGCGCGGCTTCTAGAGGTCGGGACAAGGATGAGAGCTCGAACTTCCGGGTGAGAGCCATGGCCTAGAGCTGCGGTCCACTGCTAATTAGAGCCGACGGTTCCTGAGGCCGTAGGACTGTAGGCTCAATGCGTAAGGCGAAGGCTGGAACTGAGGACTTCACCACGGTTTCCCAGATAAGGCCATGCAGTTTTGCCGAGCGACGGGCGACACTTCGGAATGGCAACCACCTTTTTCCCCAATCAGTGCTTGCACTGAAGGGGTCCTAGCGGAAGTTGAATGATTTGGCGAAAGTTCTCTTCCGATTTTGGTGGCAGGCCGGGTTCCTGGGTTCCCGGGTTCCCGGTTTCGGGTTCCCGGGTTCCCGGTTCTGGGTTCAGGGCCGATTCCGGAGGGCGGCGAAGTTCCCGGGTTCCCGGGTTCCTGGCCGATTTTCTTATCGATCGGTCTCACCATCGATCTCATTACCGATCTCTCGATCGATCTCACCATCGATCTCACAGTCGATCTCACTATCAATCTCACAAACGATCTCACTAGAGATTGCATGAGCGATCTCGCGATCGATCTCACTATCGAGTTCATTGAATCGATTTCACTCTCGGCCTCACGATCGACCTTACAGTCGTCCTCATTATCGATTCCACTATCGATCTCATTATCGATCTCACAATCGATCTCAAGGTCCATAGTATCAATTTTCAATTCATCCACTGATGGGGGTTTTCTCAGGTGTAAGTATGACCGTATGGTTTGGGGCATTTTGGCCAGCGTAGGGGCGCATGTGCTTGGCGGATGCTCTCCTATGCTCTCTGGTCGTTTTCCTTCTCGCCCTTTCGCCTTCCCCCTCTCGCGTTCGCCTCCCCCCACGTGATAAGGTGGAGGCGGAGCGAGGATTAGTAAATGCTTTGTTGGCCCTCATCACACGCGTCCTCCACCTCTGGAAGGACAGGGAGGGGAGAGGAGTGAGCGGGAGAAGAAGGAGGAAGAGGAGGAACGGAATAAACAGATAGACAGTTCCTCATGGAGGAGGGGGAGCAGGAGGAGGATTGAGCAGGATGTGGGGAGTGCAGGAACAGTGTGAGGTGAATGGACTTCCTTTGGGCACCAGTCTTTGGGGAGGAGGCGCAGAGCTGCACGTCACCGACCGCTGCTGCGGGGCACCGTCCCCGATGCACTGGCGCCCCGCGGAGCCGGCAGGCGCCGGCCACGGGCCTGGCCACACCCGGGCCCACCCCGGAGGCTTGCGAATCGCAGCGCGCCGCGGGAGGGGTCCAGGTGGGGCGACCGAGGAGGAGGAGGAGGAGGAGGAGGAGGAGGAGGAGGAGGAGGAGGAGGAGGAGGAGGAGGAGGAGGCGAGGAGAGGCGAGGAGAGGCGAGGAGGAGGAGGAGGCGAGGAGAGGAGAGGAGAGGAGAGGAGAGGAGAGGAGAGGAGAGGAGAGGAGAGTGGAGGAGGAGGAGGAGGAGGAGGCGGAGGAGGAGGGGGAGCCTCGCGCATCTCAGGCCCATTCGGAGTCCCTGCCCATGATCGATATCATTTAACCGATCCCCATCCCCATCTCCATCCCCTTCGAGACCCCCACCAAATTGCCACTCAGTTGGGATGTACCCCTCGAAACCCGAAGAGAACGACCCATATCCCCATCTAGGGGGGTACATCGGCCAGCGGGGCGCAGGCCACGCCGCTGGGGATGGGGATCGGTGAAACGATACTCATTTGAGGGTTGACGGGAAAAGGGACGATGATACGCAGGTAGTGAAACAGAGCGGGTAACCAGGTTGGACAGAGAGATCTCTGGGAGCAAGGGGTTGGCTTTGGAGGGCCTGTTCGGTCCATCCCTGGGACCTTCGTGGGGGAGGAGGAGGAGGAGGAGGAGGAGGAGGAGGAGGAGGAGGAGGAGGAGGAGGAGGAATACGACGATGACCACGACGACGAGGAAGCGGAACCAGAAAAGGAAAATTATGAGAACGACGACGACGACGAGGAGAAGGAGGAGAAGAGGACACCGAGGACAGCGAGGGCGAGGACAGGGTCCTCAAAATCGCCTCTTGGAGCCCTCTTGGGACTCTTTTGGGTGATCTTGGGGTCCTCTTTCGGGGTGTCTTTGGGCCATCTTGGGGTCCTCGTAGGGGCGCTCTTGGGGGTCCTTTGGGAGCCCTGGAGGACCTATTGGGGCCATCTTGGAGGTCATCGATCAAAAGGGGGGGAGTCCTCGATTTACCTTGGCTCCCTGGGACCCTCAAGATCGCCACTTCGGACCCTCTTGGGCGCTCTTGGGCTGCTCTTCGGCGCTCTTGGGGCCGTCTAGGGTCTCTTGGGCCATCTGGCGGCCTCAAAAGCACATCGGAAGTGAAAAGGCCAGAAGGCAACAGTCATCGAATGTCCAGAAGTGTTTGAAGGATTTTGGCTTCTTGAGGGGGTCCCGAGGAGCTCCGGGGGCACTTGGAATCGTCTTGTGGCACTCGTCGGGCCTCCTGGAGGCATCTCGGGAGCTATCTTGGGCCACCTTCGGCTATCTTGAGCCGCCATGGAGGCCGTCCTGGAGGATCGGAGGCCTTCTCGGCCTTGGAGCCATCTTGGACGACAAAGGACCCCCCAACACGTCGCGGTCCGCCCCAAAAGACCTCGGGGAGGGGAGGGGGAGGGCATCCCTCCCCGTAGGGAGAAGGGTTTTAGGAAAGAAAATTGATGGGCCTGGTTTCCACCACCACCACCACCACCATAAGTTGGAGGGGGAGGGGGTCCTCCTCCTCCTCCTCCTCCTCCTCCTCCTCCTCCTCCTCCTCCCCCTCCTCCTCCTTTTTGTTCCTCCTCCTCCTCGTCCTCCACCTCCTTCCTCCCTCCAACTTATGGTGGTGGTGGTGGTGGAAAACAGGCCCATCAACCATCACGATATCGCCAGACCAACTTAGCCCAAAGAGCTGGCGGGATTGCCCCCCTTCCGTCCGACCCACAAGGCGGTCCACACCCGCCTGAACGGGGGCGGGCCCGCGAAGGGTGCGGAGGAAACACAGGTGCCAGCGCGCTGCTCAAGCGAGCATGAGGAAGGACAGGTCAAACGGGCCGTGGATGAGAAGATTGCCCCCGCCTCGCAACTCCGACTCCAGCTCCGACATTTCCGGCTATCCCATCCCATCTTTCCGACTCCGGCTCCAACGCCGGATCCCATCTCTCCGACTCCCGTTCCGACCCCGGTTCACATCCTTCCGACCCTGGCTCCGACTCCGGCTCCCATTTTTCCGACTCCAGCTCCCATCCTTTTCTCATCTCTCCGACTCAAGCTCCACTCCTGGATCCCATCTCTCCGACTCCAGCTCCCGCGCTTGCGATTGCCATGCGACCATACGAGTGTTAAGCCGTGAATCATCAACGACGGCATCACTATCCACGACACGCACACACAACGACTACGACAACAAGGACACCGAAACATGAACAGCGCTCGAGCACCACCACGTCGACCCCACACCAGCAGACACCCAGAACCGAAGCCAATGACGCGAACGCCCAGCGAGACATCCCACGCCGACGCAGACACCAACGACTTCCTCCTCTTCCTCCCCCCTTCCTTTCTTCCCACACAGGCTGACACGACCGACCCCAAGGACCATCCTCCCTCCGTCCCCCCTCCTAATTGTTTTGCCAATTTGTCTCGCATTGCATGTTGCCCAGACACGCCAGATTCCTGAGGCCACGGCCTCGCCCACCCGGTCTTGAGTAGGCCCGGACGCTGTCCGCAACGGTGGTCGCATCGCATCGCATCGCAAAGATAATATTGTCTATAGAGCGACAGAGAGAGAGAGAGGGAGAGCGAGCGAGAGAGCGAGAAAGAGAGCAGCAGCAGCAGCAGCAGCAGCAGCAGGCATCCCGCGCGGCCCACCCCCCTGCCGCTGCGCAGCAGCCCTCGTTGTTTCACCATCGCCGTTGCGCGTCTAAAGAAAACAGCAAGAGCCCCAAGGCTGCTCTTACTGAATCTGGAGATGGGATGAAGCTGGACAACAAGTCCGTGCGCATGCACGACAATTTTTCCCAGGGCGAGTTTCCGCGACGGCAGCTTTCCCCCATGCAGACTGCTCCGATGCCCCTCGGCGGGGCCGGTCGGGCTTCAAGCGCCAGAGGGTGGACCTGTTCTTGCAGCTGCTGCGGGAGAGCAGCGACCTCGCGGACGCCGACGTCGTCTGCGTCCAGGAGCCCTCGCGGCAGTGCGCTGGCGCCGTCCCTTTCGGCGTCCGAGGGTCTACCTCGTCTCTCCTCCCCCCTCCGCGTGCTACCCCTCCCTCCCCACTCCCTCACAGTGCGTAGTCCAGCGGCACGCGCGACACCCCAGGCGGCCCCGGGCCCCGTATGCCAAGCGGGAGCGCTTGGTGCTCTAGGCAGGGGTTCAGTCGGGCCTGTCCCTCTACAGGAGGAAGATTCAGAGATAGTCAAAAAATAAGCTGGGGACGGTTTTGAGCATGTTTTGACAAGCTTGGTGTATCCTTTGACTCTGTTGAACCTCTTCGTCCAACATCCTCCTGTAGGAGGACACGCCCGACCTTAGGCAGGGGGCGCCCGACCCTTGCTCAGGTCCCCCTCCCCATCGCGGGGCGCATTTTGCACGAGCATGCCCCAGGTCATCGGTTGCACGTCTCACCAGGGACAGTGCGGGAGTGACACCACGGGGTAGACAGGGCTGCCTTCCCACGGATGGTGTGATTCTTGGTCGTGCTGACAGGAATCGTCGATTGGTTGAGGCTGGCCTTCACCTTGCCGACGCAGGCAAGCCTACGGCAGGTTCGTGCGGCGCTGGCGCGCGCCAAGGTTTTTGACACCGCGTCGATCGTTCAACCTTGAATCGATCGCGGCCCCGATCGTTCAAGATTGAATTCTAGACGCTTCGCGTATCCCCACCAGCCCGTCCAGAAATGAGTCCCAGGGGAGTGGAGGTTATGAGGGAAGCGGGGGAGCATGCAGAAGAACAGAGGGCGGGGTGAGCCGCCATATACCCCAAGAGGGGGAGGATGTAGGAGGAGCCGTCGTCGTCGGAGTAGGAGGAGGAGGAGGAGCAGGAGGAGGAGCAGGAGGAGGAGCAGGAGGAGGAGGAGGAGGAGGAAGATAAGGAGGAGGAGATGGAGGACTGCGAGGACGAGGAGGACGAGAAGGAGGAAAAGGAAAAGGAGGAGGAGGAGGAGGAGGAGGAGGAGGAGGGGGAGGGGGAGGAGGGAGGAGGAAGAAAAGAGGAGGAGGAGGAGGACAATGGCGAGCTTGGGGGCCTCTTGGGCCGTCTTTGGGCCTCTTGGCGGTCCCGGGGGCCTCTTGCGTATCTCGGGGAGCCTCTTGTGGCCTCTTGGGGGTCTCTTGGGGGCCTCTTGGAGGCCTCTTGGGGGCCTCTTGGGGCCTCTTGGGGCTCTCTTGGGGCGCTCTTGGGGCGCTCTTGGGAGCTTTCGAGGCGCTCTTGGGGCCATCTTGGAGGAGATCTATCAAAGAAGGGGGGGTCCTCAATTAGCGCTGCCCCTCTAGAGTGCCTCGAATCGCTTCTTGGGCCCTTCTTGAGGCCAAAATCTTTCCAAAACCTAGGTAAAATCAATGTTTTGTGTTTTCTCGCCTTTTCGCTCTTGGAGCCGTCTTGGGCCGTCTTGGGAGCCTCTTGGGCCTCTTGGAGGTCTCTTGGGAGCCTTTTGGAGGCCTCTTGGGCGCCTCTTGGGGCCTCTTGGGGCGCTCTTGGGGCGCTCTTGGGGCGCTCTTGGGAGCCTTCGGGGCGCTCTTGGGGCCATCTTGGAGGAGATCGATCAAAGAAGAGGGGGTCCCCAATTAGCGTTGCCCCTCTAGAGTGCCTCGAGTCGCCTCTTGGGCCCCCCAAGAGGCCAAAATCCTTCCAAAACCTAGGTAAAATCATTGTTTGTTGCTTTCTCGCCTTTTCGCTCTTGGAGCCGTCTTGGGCCATCTTGAACTCTCTTGGGGCCTCTTGGGGGTCTCTTGGCAGCCTCTTAGAGGCTTCTTGGGGGCCTCTTGGGGTCTCTTGGGGCCCTCTTGGGGCGCTCTTGGGGCGCTCTTGGGAGCCTTCGGGGCGCTCTTGGGGCCATCTTGGAGGAGATCTATCAAAGAAGGGGGGAGCTCCAATTAGGGTTGCCCCTCTAGAGTGCCTCGAAGCGCCTCTTGGGCCCCCCCAAGAGGCCAAAATCCTTCCAAAACCTAAGGAAAATCAATGTTTTGTGCTTTCTCGCTTTTTCGCTCTTGGAGCCGTCTTGAGCCATCTTGGGCGTCCCTGACACCTCGCGAGACGCCTCGTCCAGGTCAGTGGGGAGGGGTAAGGGGAGGGGTAAACCCCTCCCCGAAGGGAAAGAAGGGGGGTTGGCAGAGGAAACGCTCTAGACCACCTACGCCCTAAAGGGCTGGTGGGATTCCGTCGGGTCCAACGGCGTCACAGTGTCCCTCGGTGCTTCCGCGTCGCTCTGGCATGAGGCGTTCAACCTTGAACGCCTTCGCCGGCGTCGCGGGCGCCCCCTCGCCGCGCGAAACTGCTGTACCTCTCGCCGTATCCCAGCCTGGCGGGACCTCCAGGTGGGGGAGTCCGAAGTCTCACGGGTCAGGCTCCCGGCCCGTGTGGGCCTGGCTGCTCGCGGCCTTCTTCGCGGCCCCTCTGTTCCAAACCCTCGAGAAGCGGGCCCGCGTTCTACTCTTGCCCCGCTGCGGTTGGCTGTTCTCGGCTGTCGAACACGCCGAGGCGCGACAAGGGGCGAGCTGGGGGTGACCCTGGTTTGCCCCCCAAAGGGTCTCACTTTCGTCGGGAGGCCTGGCTCTGGAAGTCGGTAGTGATTGTTGCGTGCCTTCAGCAGGATGTTAGGCGGTGCTCGTGACGCGCAGTCAGCCCTGGAACTCGGGCCGAGGGGTGCCGCCTTGCATGGCATCTCTTGCTGTCGTGCTTCTTCTCAGGCGGTGCTGGTGACAGGCAGCCAGCCCTGGAACTCGGGCCGAGGGGTTCCGCCTGTGCGCTCGCTCCTGTCGGTTTGGCCCCCGTCCAGGTGTACCTTGGCCCCCTGGCCTCTCTGTGCCCGTGAGGGGACTCCCCGCCTTGGGTCTCTGGGACGGGTCTCGCCATCGGCGCCCCGTCACACCGTCGGCTAAGCTCAGCGTTGCCTCTCCTGGACTGCGCGCTCCTGCAGGCCATCAGGGCTGCTGGCTTTTGCATTGCTTCTGCCCCCTGCTTACGATGTTCCAACCAACTTGAGCCTTGATCGCCAGAAAGAATTTCGAGCACCAAGAACGAACGTACCGAAACTCGAGGGTTTTCACGTGTCCGGCCCTGGGAGGTGACGCTCGTTCGACACTGTTTCGACCTTTTCTCAGGGTGCTCGAAATTATGTTTTGGACGCTGTCCGTAAGTACGATGGGAACAGCATAACCCTCGGGGTTCCCACGGGCTGGGATGCGCTGTGCGCCCCACCCGCCCCCGGCTTCCGTACTGCGAAAGCCTTCCGGTCGGCGCTGCCGGCCCTGAAGGGAGACTCGGGGCGGCCAAAGGGGGGTGATGATTAGGGTTACGTCGGGCATGTCCTTCTACAGGAGGAAGATTCAAACATATTTAAAAGTCAGAGGACGATTCTTCAACTGTTTTCAACTATTCTAGTATATACTTGGGGAAATGTTCCCCACATCCCAAGTGGGATTCTTGTTTTCTCTGGACACCCCGCGCAGGAAGACAGGGACAGGAACTCCTCCTCTCTTCTCACTCACTCACCACATACACACTCATTCACTCACACACGCACACACTCACATCATCATCGTCACCACCACATCATCATCACTCACACACTTATTCACCCGCTCACACACTCACTTTCACTCAGCATTATCACTCCTTTACACACACACACTCACTCACCACCTACCACCCATCCACTCACACACATCATCGTCAGCACCACCCTCACCATCATCATCATCATCATCATCATCATCATCATCATCATCATCATCATCACCGTCTTCGTTCACTCACTCAAAATAGTCGATACAGACCTCATGAGCTCTTCTTGCTCCGCACACTCACTCACTCAATTAGTCACACACCATCACCATCATAACACCATTCTTCGTCATCATTCATTAAATTTGTATCATCATCAGTCGCTCAACCATTCGCACCATCACCACCACCCTCACCATCATCATCATCATCATCATCATCATCATCAGCATCAGCATCATCATCATCATCATCATTCACATCGTCATCATCATCACCACTCACATCACAGCATCAGCATCCTCACTCACATCTTCATCACCACTCACATCATCATCATCATCATCATCATCATCATCATCATCATCATCATCATCATCATCATCATCATCGTCATCGTCATCGTCATCGTCATCGTCATCGTCATCGTCATCAGCATCAGCATCAGCATCAGCATCAGCATCAGCATCAGCATCAGCATCATCATCATCATCATCATCATCATCATCATCATCATCATCATCATCATCATCACTCACACGCGCACACATTCATTTTTAGGAGATATCAGGGGGGAGCCTTGTCTGTGAGTGAATTGCGAGGAAGTCTCAGACGGGAGCCCCCTCCCTAGTGGGCCCGCAGCTCATATGAGTAATCCGAGCGGGTCATCGGCCTCCTGCAACTGTCGTCACTTTCGGGCCCCTGAGGCATGACTCTGGGGGAAGTATCAGACGGGAGTTTCGTCTGTGAGTAAATTGCGAGGAAGTCTCAGGCAATCCGAGCCGGTCATCGGCCTCTTGCAATTGTTGTCATTTTTGGGCCCCTGAGGCCTGCATATCAAGGAAGTATCAGACGGGAGCCTCGTTTGCCAGTGAGTTGCGAGGAAGTCTGAGGCGGGAGCCCCCTCCGTATGGGGCCCGCAGCTCATGTGAGCAATCCAAGCGCGTCACCGGCCTCCTGCAACTGTCATCACTTTCGGGCCCCTGAGGCATGAATCTGGGGGAAGTATCAAGGCCTGCATATCGAGGAATTATCAGGTGGGAGCCTCGCCTATGAGTGAATTGCGAGGAAGTCTGAGGCGGGAGCCCCTTCCGTATGGGGCCCGCAGTTCACATTCGAATCCGAGGCATGTCATCAGAAATTCGAAATTGTCGTCACTTTCGGGCTCCTGATCCTTGAACATGGGGGAAGTATCAGGCGGGAGCTTCGTCTGTGAGTAAATTGCGAGCGAGCAGGTCAC